ACGGGGTCTCACTCTTGCTCAGGCTGGTTTTGAACTCCTGAGCTCAAACAATCCGCCCGCCTCGGCCTCCCAGAGTGCTAGGATTATAGGCGTGAGCCACTGCGCCCGGCCTAGGAGTGACTTTTCATTCACTGCTGGCACTGACAAATGGTAGTGCTCAGAAATGATTTGCTATACTGGGAGTCCACTAACGTGTTCTGTAAAAGGCCAAGTAGCAAATATTTCAGACTTTGTGGACCATGTGGTATCTGTTGCAACTATTCAACTCTGCCCTTATAGCTGGAGAACAGCCCATAGATGATACAGAAATGAATGGGTGTGGTTACGTGCCAATAAAACTTTATTAACAAAAACAGGCAGTGGGTGGATTTGGTCCTCAGCCAGTTTGCCGATGGTGTGCTAGGTCTCCAATAAAGCCAGGTAAAGCCAGGGCTTTCATCCAGCCTGTTGTCATTTCTCAACTAAGTTGCTTTGACACTGACAGAAATGCACTGTGTGTTTTCTGTGGGTGAACCTTTACAACGAATCCTTCATTCATTTCCAGACACCTTTGTTAAATGCAAATCTAGTCATATCGCTCTCATGTTTAAACTTTGAGAACATCTCCTGGATAAAATCTCAACTCCTCTGCATGAAGCATGGCAGACCAGGGTCTTCATGATTTGGCCTCTACCTATTTGTCCAATACCAACTCCTTACTGTGTAGGCCTCTCATACCCTACACATCCCTAATAACTGTACCAAGCTCTTGCCATTCTTTGAGCAAATTAAGTTTATGTCCTCATCATTTATACTGTTTTTTTCTGCCCAGATATCGCCATTGTCCTTTAAAAATTTTTTAGCTAGATAATTACCTCCTTATTTTTCAAGACTAACGTGAATGCTATTCTCCTGGAAACCTTCCTTGTCCCTTCTTACCGGCGCATCCCCAAGTCAAGTGCCCCATTCCTGAGCTGACAAAGCATCCTGTGCATTTACGACAGTTTTTATCATGTAACAGTACCACAATGTCCCTCTGCTTGTCCCCACCATATATGGTCAGCTCCTGGAGAGTTGAGACTATGTGTTAGGACTGTACCCCCGACAGAGCACATACTAAAAAAACTGTCCAATGAATAACGGAACTTTCTAGACTTCAGTCTATGAACTAAGGTGGTAAATCAAATAATCTCTAATGTACCATCCAATCTAATTCCCTGTGATTATTTGATCTAACGGTGGGGTGGAAGACATACTTGAAATGGAAGATGACTAAGTTTGAAGCTAATGTTGACCTAATCCTTGTGCCACACACTCTTGGTACCAGCTCTGTGACCACAAAGGACAAAGGCTGTTTCCTTCTATGCTTCCCTCATGCTCACATTACTGATTCCACTGCC